TAAAAAAGCTCACTGTTCGCGAATGTATTCTTTGTTCTTTCTTTATGCTTTCCTTTTTTTTCTTCTTTTCTTTATTATACTACTGTCAGTGGCATTCTTTTTTTTAGCAATTTATTCTGGCTTCGAATGAGAGAGATAAAAAAATGGAATTATACTTGTTTTTTTCTTGGGACAATAAAGAATTATCTTTTTATATGTTTATCTATAAATTTGTCTGTTTTTTCTTTTTGATTTTTTTTTTTGTCTTCTCTAAGCGTTTTTCCCTAACAACTCACAAAGCATTACATATCCATTGCATCGGTGTCCTTTATCCTAAAATTTTTCACGACAAGAACAACAATAACAACCAAAAAAAAGAGAATTTTTTTTTTTTTGATAATAAACCGCAATTTTTTGAGAGGAAGGGGAAAGCGATTAGTGGTTGTGTTAGTTTTGGGCAGTAATAGTGAAACTGTATACACGCTTTATTTAGAGAGTTAAAATCACAGTTCTATTAGATTAGTTCTTTGCTGCTTCGTCTGGAAAATCAACGGCTAGTGGAGATGATAGAATCATTGTTGATAAAAAATAAAATTCGTATTTAATATACCGTTCAATTTATTTATTATATAAAATTTTTTTCTATATTCTTTACCTTTTTTTGGCTTGTATTAAGAATTAAAGAGATTATTTAGGAAGTGTGTTGGTGAATGATGATTATAGCGATGATGATGAGAATAAAATGACATCATTTTTGAATGTAAATATCTGAAATATATCCTAAAAACAAACAGCATTGGCAGTAACAGCAATTTTTTTTTTCTGGTCCTAAAATGAACAAAATATGAAGTTAAAAGAAAAGAATGTGCTTTGGTGAATAAATGAGCATTATAATAGGCATAAAAACTGCAGCAATATTTATTTCACTTTTCCTCCTGTCAGCTTTTTTTGTTGCTCATTTTTCCTCTGCTTTTTCTGCTTTTTTTTTTTTCCAATGCTTTTATGTCTTTGTCCTTTTACTTAATTTTACTTTATTTGACTCTTTTTATTCTTTTTGATTCACTTTTATTTTATATTTTTTCTTTGTTTGTGGAAAGATTTTTTTCTGCATTATTGCTGTTGCTGTTTTTGTTTTGTTTTATCAACATTATTTTTGTTTGTTTGTTTTGTTTTGTTGCTGTTTTAAAAAAATTTATCGGTGCTGAAGAATACAACAGAAGTTCTGTCTATATCTCTTTACTCTTACTATAGTTTTATTTCTTCATTGAATCGTATGTTCTGTTTATTCAATTTCTGTTTGTTTGTTTTTCTGGGCAGATTTTCATGATTATTAATTAGCGTATCAAAGAATTACACTAATTGCTGCTCTCGTTTTTGCCTACTCTCAAATTCCATCTTTTTCGATGGTTTTAATGTAGAATTTAATGTTTTTCAAGAAAAAATTGGCAAAAAGTTTCATTTTTTCAATGATTTTCTTTCTTTTACAGCACCAATTTTTCTCTAACGTATTTTTTTCGCTTTGTTTTGTTTGAACAGGATGATTTAAAGACTTGGTTTGGAATATAATGAAATTTAAAAGCAATTTCCAGTATTCTTGTGAAAAGAGCAGAAGAAGAAAATGCAGTAGGAAACCAAACGTCAGCAAGGATTCTCCAAAAAAAAAAAAAAAAAAATCGTCGCTACTATTTTACAATGTTTGTACAAAGATGTTAACAGCGAGTATACAGTAGAATTATTTTTGGTAATACTTCTATATATAGCTTTAAAAATAAATAAATTTCAAAAGCTTACAGAAAACTAATGGTGCTATAAAACAAAATCAG